TAACCAGGATTATCACTGTGAAAAAAGTCACTGTAATGCCACTTGCTTGTGATATGTGCTGCTGCTCTCATGCTACTGGTCTATTTCATGTTGCTGTGTTCATTCATACTCATCTGCTCACACAGACTCATGTCCGTGATGCTGTTGTTTGGTGTATTGTTTTTGTACTATTTTTTATTCAAGTTTTATTTAAACAGGTTTGTCCCATTGAGCCATGAATATTCATTTTCCTTTTAGCCATCCTATTTGTAAAAAAAAAAAAAAAAAAAACTGTATTATGACTTTTTATAATTGTTTATTGTTGTTGCTGTTGTCCATTGTTGTCATCTTTCTTTGTTAAACAGGTCTCTCTTGTAAATGAGTCCTCAAGGCTCAATGGGATTTACCTGTCTATATTTTTTCTGTCTGCCCCTTATATTTTGAATCTCACACATAAAACGAGCCAGTTCCTGAATCGGTCACGTGGTACGTCCCGCTAGCAAGGCCTCGAACGTCACTACATGCGTCATCAATACACGCCTTGATACACGCTCCACATAAATCCTCCTGGATTACTTGACACACGCTTCAAAGCCTCGACACAGAAGGACACATTACTACCATACCCAGCTTCACCTCTCTAATGGACCTCAGCAACAATGTTTGCTGGAACCCATCTGACCTTTGACCTCAGATCAGTCCTGACTGTGTTCTACCTTCTGGTTGTGGAGGTCATTAATTGACAATAGAACAGTAACCTTCATCTGTTTCTAGGTCCTCTCTTTGGCTCTTCCGATGTATCTCTGAATGTGGAGCCATCAAGGTCCGGGTCTGCCCGCAGGCAGCGTTCTGCTGAGATGTTTCACATTGAGGTACCTGTTCTGTTCAGTCCTGAGTTCAGTGAACAGCAGAACTAACATGTTACTGAACTATGCTTAGGTTTCTTCTCCTTTTCCAGGTTCTTCTGGCTGTTGATTATTCTCTTCTTCTTTTCCATGGACGGGACCACATTCAAAAGTATCTCCTGACACTGATGAACATTGTAGGTTTAACACCAATGCACTGATATTTTACTAGCAATTAGGCTGGTTTGTTTTAGGAGGTTTGGTTGCCACTGGTTGCTGGCCTCAAAGATCATTGGGTACTCTGTCCTGACAGTCTCCATGAATTGTAGGACCTGTGAACTAAAGACGTGTTAAAAATAAAGAACCATGATTCGGATTCAATTGATTCAGGTTCTCGTCCACTTGATCTTTCAATTCAACCTTTATTTCTGCAGGTTAGTCTCACTGGCTGCCGAGGGGAGAAGTGATTTGTTGGGCTCCACTCATACCCTCTGTATTTTACAACTTTTCTTAATATTATGGTGTGCATGGATCCATAACTTTTTTCTACACAACGAGGGCAAACTAGTTGATCGGAACAATGGTGAACAAACAATGCTTTATATGTTTGGACATGGAAATCTTACTCAGTATTCTATTTGGGCATCAAAAGGTCTGCACAAAAGTACTAGAAATAGCGCAAATACATCAACATCACACCAAGGTAGAGTGTATGCATCTAAAATACTGTTGGTGCTTATACTCCTGGCTGGTGACATACATCTGAACCCCGGTCCTATCACGCTGAAGCACCAGGCTAGCACTGTGGAGGTTGTGCCTGATACAGGTGAAGCAGTGCAGGTAACATTACTTCCAATTATACTGGCGCATCACACAGCGAAGCTGGAGGGAATGTTGGCTCAGAGCCAGGAGCTGGTGGAGCTACATCCTGGAGAGAAACAGAGCGCATCGGAGCTACGTGTGAGTACAACCACCCACGGCCATATCAATGGGTCGCCCTGTCGGACAGATCCCCACTCCAGGTCCAGGAGCTACTGCACCTACTGTCTGTCAGTTCTCAGCAGCTGAGGGTGGAGGTGTGGGCTTTGACTTTTTGGTCGAGGGATGACACGTTGGATGGCGTGGGGCATGGGGAAACAGTCGCCAACCTGCCAACGCGCCTGGAAGGAACTGACAATCGTGCTGCTCAAAAACAAAAGCAGCACTTATTTTTTCAATCTGTTAATCATGCCTGTGTGCTCTGGGACGTAAAGTGCAAACCAAAGGGAATTTTAGGCGGACGGTTAAACATACGCAGCCTATTACCCAAGCATGATCAGGTTTTTGAACTTCTTCTGGACTCAAACCTGGACTATCTTTGTCTAACAGAATCCTGGCTTCACAGCAATGTACAAATCAATATGATAGACATCACCAGGTATCAGTGCTTTTTAAAAGGACAGAAAAACAGGCAAAGAGGGAGGAGTTCTCATATAATGAAAAACAAATTTAAATGCCAGCTGGTTGATTTGAACACCCCTCTGGAATGCCTTGCCTTGAATGTAATTCTATCACTTACTATGAATTTTAACATTGTTGTTCTCTATACTCCACCTTATAATGCTACATTTTATGATGAACTGAGTGTTGTAGTTAAACAACTTGATTCTCAAAGAGAGACAATATGGTATGGAGATTTTAATATCCATTGGTCTGATAAACACTGCAAACAACTAAAAGCAATCAAGACAATTTAATTGTCAACCAATGATTAAAGGACCGACAAGGTTAACTAAGCAGACTAAAACCGTAATTGACCTGGTATTTAGTAACAAACCAGAATGTGTTACAAGGACTTACAATCTGAATACAGGACTTTCAGACCATAACATGACTCTGACTGCTAGAAAACTGACTAGAAAATGGCTGAAGTATTTTGGTAAACCTAACCATGAAAGAATAAAATGCATCGTTCCTAAAACAAAAACTGTCATTTGAAAGGGAACTCAATAAGATAAACTGGGACCAAATTATGCATCTAGATCATGTAGAGGAGTGCTGTAATACCATAACAGCAGCAATTGCAAGAGTTATTGAAAAATTCACAAAGCAAGTTAAAATCTAGGAAAAAAGACATTACCTTGGATAAATACAGAAATACAAAAACTTACGAAGAAGCGGGATTTGGCTCTTAAAACATCACTATGTTCAAAATGAAATACTAGCCTTTTAATTTATCAAAGCTTAAGGAACAAAGTGGTATATGAACTGCATAAAACCAAAACCTCATATTATACTAAACCAATTGACAATGCTAAAACCAGCAATAGTACACTTTGGAAGCATTTAAATAATCTGGCCAGCAGTACGGGGCAGCATGGTGGCGCAACTGGTAGAGCTGCTGCCTCTCAGCGAGCAGGTCCCTGGTTCAAACCCTGGTCCGAGTGTCTTTCTGGGAGGAGTTTGCATGTTCTCTCTGTGCTGCATGGGTTTTCTCCGGGTACTCCGGTTTCCTCCCACAGACCAAAAACATGCATGTTAGACTGATTGGTAACTCTAAATTGTCCCTAGGTGTGAGTGAGATAGTGAATGGTTGTTTGTCTCGTTTGTCTCTATGTGTCCCTGTGATGGACTTGCGACCTGTCCAGGGTGTACCCCGCCCCTTGCACAGTGATTGCTGGACATGGGCACGGCGACCCCCGTGACCCACAAGTGGAAGAAGCGGGTAAAAGATAATGAGTGGATGGATGGATGACCAGCAGGACCAATAAACACAAAAGGATCACAGAACTTACCATCAGTGGTAATAGTATAACTGAAAATGCCACTTTGGCTGACAAATTCAATTCATATTTTTTACAATCAGTTGAAAAATTATCAGAACATTTTCAATTTGTAGATTCTCCTAATCAGTTACTGGGAATTACCTCAACAGATTCCTTTCATATTAAAGAGGTTCAGGATACAAAAGTTGCAGAAATAATCAATAAGCTTTCAAATTCCAAAACAAATAACATTTATAACATGAATAGTTGTTTTCTTAAAAAATAGATATGTTCTGGTTAAACCATTGACACAGCTCGTTAATCTTTCCATCAAAACAAGTATCTTTCTAAGTTCATGGAAAAAAGCAGTAATCATTCCAGTATTCAAAACAGGAAGTCAGGAGTCTGTGTGTAAATATCGCCCTATATCAATTTTACCAGTTTTATCTAAAGTAATTGAAAAGGTTGTTGCTGTCGTAATTGAAGGTTTTAAAGGCAGATCCCAATGGTGCAGGCAGGACTCAGAGACTATGGGGGTTAAATGAAGGAATACTTTTAATAAACTCAAAATAAAGAACCTGTTGAGGCAGCAAAACTCACGCTCTTGAAAGACACGTAGAAAATCACTATGAACACGTAGGAACTCAGGAGGGAAAACCAGACGATGCCCAGATGAGGACTAACATCAAGACACAGACTTGTATACAAACACTGACAAGGACTAAACACAAAACACATATCAGGCTCACAGGTGTGGGAAAGGGGAAATCACATGAGAGGAAACAGGACAGAGATACACCACTAGAAGCACAATCACCACATTACCCCTTCTTTAAAGGACATCTCCAGACATCCAAAAAACCATGTCCCCAAAAACTTGGGTGGGAGGAGGGTGAAAACAGGACGGAGGGCACTAGGGAACACAACACAAGAGGGAGACTAGGCATACAATACACAAAGGCACACACAAAAAGTTCAGGCAGGCGGCCGGGCGGCCAGGAGGCCGTCCACCATATTGAGGCATGTCAGGCGGGCAGCCAGGAGGCTGTCCACTACATCTAAGCCGGTCAGGCGGGTGGACGGGAAGCCATACATCACATCGAAGCTGGTCAGGCAGGTGGCCGGGAGGTCGTTCACCACATTGAGGCATGTCAGGCGGGTGGCCAGGAGGCTGTCCACCACATCGCAGTGGGTGGCTGTGGCTGAGTGGTTAGAGCAGTCGTCCTCCAATGCAAGAGTTTGGGGTTCTAATCCACCAGCAGTCATATGTCGAAGTGTCCCTGGGCAAGACACTGAACCCCTCATAGCCTCTGCTGTGTCTCCCATTAGTGTATGAATGTGATCTAAAGCACTGGTTAGTCTCTTTAGAATGATTTGTTCAATTAGCTTTGTATAGCTCTAGTAGAGTGCTGTATGAATGGGTAAATGAGGACACAGATTGTAGTGTAAAGCACTTTGAGTATCTTGATCAGATAGAAAGGCACTATATAAGTACAGTCCATTTACCATTTATCCATTTACATTGAAGCCGGCCAGGCGGGTGGCCGGGAGGTGGTCCACCACATTGAGGCAGACAAGGCAGGCGGCCGGGAGGCCATCCACCACGTCAAAGGCGGGCGGCCAGGAGGCCATCCAAAAACTCAGGAGCAGGTCTATAGATGCTGTAGAACACCCAAGTGGCGTGGACACCTCAGGATGAGACTCGGACCCTGGACGAGGCATAGACCCTTGATGAAGCGAAGAGACCACAGGTGAAGCAGATGGCGTGGGACCGTCGAGCGGAGCAGCTGCTGGTGTGGGACCCTCGAGCAAAGCAGCTGGTGTGGGACCCTCGAGTGAAGCAGCTGTAGGCTTGAGACCCTCGGAAGATGTGGGACACTCAGGGACTGCAGCAGGCTTGGGGCCCAGGAGAGGCTTGGGACCCAGGAGAGGCTTGGCACCCAGGAGAGGCTTGGGACCCAGGAGAGGCATGGCACCCAGGAGAGGCTTGGCACCCAGGAGAGGCTGGGGACTCAGGAGAGGCTTGGGGCCCACTGGAGGCTTGGGGCCCACTGGAGGTTTGGGACCCATGGAGGCTTGGGACCCACAGAGACTTGGGACCCACTGGAGGCTTTGTACAATATGAGGTGTCAGGACCAACCATTATTGAGACACCAATAGATGGGGTGTCAGAACCAGTCCCCACAGAGGTGCAAGAAGATGGGGCATTGGGGCCAGCCCCCACCAAAGCAAAGGAAGGAGGTGGAGCATCGGGTCCCACCCCCTCTGAGGAATTAGAAGGTGGAGTGTTGTGGGTGTCACCCACCGAAACTCTGACATCAGGAAACTTGGAGACCATAGGTGGCCCAGAACCCACACCAGGCAAGGAGTAGAGACAGGAGTCCTCCAGGACCCTCTTGAATGAAGTGTGAGACTTGTCCTCCTAGACCTTCTCTGATGCACAAGGAGCAGGT